CGAGGGCGCTGCGTACTGTACACTTACAATGTACAGTTCAAAGGCCCCATTTACGGCATTAACCCCAATTATTTGCACGAGACGTCCAAGTGTAAGTTCAAGTATCTGTATTTAATGAAGTTATGCGTGAGAAGACCTTCAACATAATTATTATCTTATAACGCTAGTAAGAATTTCATATCCAGTTATTTCGTCTGTCTATTCCTTTGATGAATGGGTTTGAAGTGGTTCACGTGTCGGTTTCCTGTATGAGAACTTCATTGCAAGCGAACGTGATGGTGAAAGTAGCCTGTGTTCTACTGCAAGACTTGAGCAAGTCTCACCAGCGCGCTGCTCGTATCGCTAGATGCAGACGGCTGTTAATCTAGTTAATCACCAGCTATGGGTGAGCCAATTGTTGTACTCGTAGCTTCACGAGCCCTTTATTCCGCTCGAGAGAGAGAGCGTTGTTGTGTAAAGCCGTGAGTGTTGTTTCAAATTGAAACGCTCTGTTTTTCGTTTAATGATTGATATTTCTGAAACGTGAGAGTCGAAATTTTTGCAACTAACTTTTATAACAACAATGCATCAAACTTTATTTATAGCTTATTCGAGCAATATCCTCGATTTTACCAAAGCTAGGTGTTCAAAGGGAGAGGTAGATTTGCAAATAATTTTTTACATTCCATTAAAAACGTGAACCAGTATATATATTCACTGAAAGTGCCAGATAAAACCTTTCAATGCAAGTACCGGTAGTCGTTTAGTACTGCTTACGCCATTCCTAAAACCCCCGCCATTGCTTCGTACGATTGTCGTCACGCTGGCATGGTTGTAATCGATAACTCGATGAACAAGCTCGCTGGAACTGCTGACGGTTTCCGCTCTAGGTCCGTGGTTGCCGCGGTTTACGTCTGACGCACGAATTGGGCGTGCCCGATATACGGGCGGAACCGAAGCGAAATGGATCCGGAGAGCCCGTATATATGTATGATGGATACTTATGTGTACTGTTGAAGCTTGCATGCCCGCGGCTCCGAAAGAATTGCGTACTTGAGAAGAGTTCTGGGAATGTCAGATAGTGAACAATGAGGCTCTTCGTCGTATTTGGACCGGATGCATCTTATCTGGTCGTTATCGACCGTGAATTCTTACTTATATCCCATTCATTTGCGGAAACTGCCTTAGATTTGACGTTCTTGGGAGACACGTTTTTTTTTCTAAGTTACACGAACGGACCAGGCAATAAGTCCAGCAGCTATCTCAATCAATCGTCAGTTATGGAAAGATCGGGTTCCAAAGACTGGATCCCTTGTGAATCAAGTCACGAAAAGTACATGAATCGACAACCGGCCATGGGCCTATTTCTTCAGTACGGACACTTCTATTCTATTCTATACAGCCACAATTCTTCATGCCCATAAGCCTTTGACATTCTCTCTTTTTGACTTTTACTACGCTGGGTATACCACTTATTCCAGCAGCTTCATGCTCAATTCACTGATTCTACCTCGCAGTTTCGTCAGAGCGCTACGAATTCTTGTACATTGATGCTCCATTGACTGATTTTGCTAAGAATTTTCAGCGGGATTCTACTCGTGTACTCGCACCTTCAAGCTCCATTGACTTATTCTAAGTCAACCCTGTACAAGTGTTACATTTAATTTTTAGCTGATCGGTGTTTCAAAATCCAATATATTCTATTGCGTTTTCCGAAAGTGGCGACTTATATGGCATTGACAGTAGTTCTGTTTGTCTGAACTCTGAATTGCGTGTTTAGTGTGTTTGATGGAAAACTATGCTTTGCAGCATAGTTCTAATTACTTAATGACGTTTAGTTCAATGCAGTCAACTTAAGAGACAAATTTTCAACTAACTAATACTTTTTTATAAGTCTAATTTTAATTGTTGAGTGAAAGGTGCAGGTTTACAACTTACAACTTACAAGTGATTAGGTACTTTATAGAAACTGAGCAAGTTAGGCAGCATACGTGTTTTAAGGGGAGCGTCTCCCTAAAAATTTATCTCAGTAATTTACAGAGGGATCAATCTGAAATTTGGTACACATATGTAAAACAGAATTCTAAGAAAATATTGTCTTTCCTTGTGAGTGCACCGTGCAGAACTTTAATTACGCGTATTTCACGCGTAGGAAGGGACTCTTGGAAAAACTCTCAGCTTTTTACCTCGAAGTTGAACGACAATTTTTGTTATGAGAGACACTCATTACTCGCGTAATTAGTAGGGAAACTCTACTCATTCGCTGTTTTTTGGACCCGCTTCCTAGCATCATCGCTAACTCTAGAGCTCGCCGACTATAGAGCTAAAAACTGACAATAATTTTGTCATGGGTCGCTGCAGGGCCGATCTCACCTGATCGACCTACAATCGTCAGCTCTTGCATGTCTGCGAACCTGGCGCACTAGCATGCCTTGTGTTTCATGGATACCATGTATCCTCGCCTTTAAAGGCTATCGGCATGATAATTCACTGATATTACCAATACTGGCTTTGATCTGGATTTTTTTTGTGTACAGAGCTAAACGTTCATATTAGCTAACGTCATGTTTGTCATTACGAATACGACTTTATTTACTGAATGTTAGGACTTATTTGTCGTATTTTTCATATTAAATTATGCAAGTAGCGAGCACAAAATCTTTACACCATAATGAACGAGCCCCAGAATTCGTGCTTGGTTCACTGAGCTCAACTGCAGGCGGTCACTTTCTCCTGAGCTGTCAAAACGACGACGCCTGAACGGCTGACCTCCTCTCGTGGTCCTGGCGATTGGCTTGCGTTACCGTCGTTACGCAATGTTGGAGTTAACATTAACCCCTGGCGTAGCATGTTAACCTGGCACATTAATCGGTGAAGTAAAGTAATTTACCTGAATTGACTGGTTATCCTGACACATTAATCAGTAGACTGCCAAACATGGCGTTCAGTAGACTGACAAACATGGCGTTCAGTAGACTGACAAACATGGCGTTCAGTAGACTGACAAACATGGCGTAACAGGTTAAATTGAATTAAAGGCAAATTGAATGAATCGTAAATAATTTACTCGGCGTTGCTGTGGAACGATCTTTTTAATGAGTATGAGCGACACCCCGATGTGATTTAATGCAGCATTAATTCCATTTATTGCTGGGCCACCATATTCATTTGAATATGGTGTTCTAGCTAGCTTAGGTACCCTAGCTTGAGTGCTGTTTCTTTCATTGGACACAACGAACGGCCGTAACTTCATTTGTACTACTACATTTTGGCTCTTGGATGTTACTGATATCAAGTCCACTTATAAATCATCAACTATTAAGCCAACCTGCTTGGTTAGAAATCGATCTGGGCAACTGGGCAACCGGTTTGCGACGCCTCACGTGCGTACCTTATATAGTTACGTTTATTTTACACCTACCAGATATTGGACGAGAGAGCTTGGAAGCTGCTACGTCGCTTTCTAAGCTTATGACTTCAATCAAGTTTCCTGCTTTCGAAGAGAATTGTTCTATTTTCTCATAGCTAATATAGGGCAGGATTTGCTAGGTAGTTAAGTTTAAACCGATATTCTATTTAAAATTGCTACAATTTTGGTAATGAAGAATGTATTTATTACAAAAATAGCAAAGCAAATTGGAAAGCGTTTCCGACTTGAAGCCGTTGAGTACCTTCCTCCAACATACCCCGATAAAAGAAATAATAAATTGATTGCCACACAACGTAGTATATCCCAACCCTACATTTCCATGAAGTTACACAACTGTCCGTTTTGTTGATCCATTGATGGGGAAACGTTTCGCCTTCATCCCTCGCCGTGGGATGCCCACTGGACCACACCGTCTCCCAACGAAGGAAGTTGCATCACGCGCTTGCATTTCTACCCTGCCTTGCCACGGGATATACGGCGGCAGGCTGGGGTCGCGTGCGCCATCAAGACCGGATACAGTAAGAGCGATATGCAGGGCGCTGAGATCGCAGCCATATGCGCCGCTATGAGTTCTTCTCTATTCTGTTTACATATAAGATAACGTGACATAACATAACAACGTAATATAGCATAACATGACATAACATAACATAACATAACATAACATAACATAACATAACAGAACATAACATAACCTAGCATAATAATATCGGAGTCGAAGAATAGACCGAGTTGGCCTGTCGCTCTTGATGCCTGGGTGCTGACGGTCTCAATACTTGCTTTAGAGAATGCATTTCTGTGGCTGGAATTCCGATTGTCGTAGTTGATTGCTGAAATCGAACCCAGGTTCCGTCATGCTAGTGCATGACACTTGCAGAGGGGCGCTAGTTAAAGTAAATGAACTGACTTTAAAAAGATTCTGCACAAATTGTCTTGGGTTTGCGGTATTTGATTTTAGTTCCTGTCTTGTTTTATTGATTAGAGTGAGTTCTTCTGCAAGTGTTCTGTCTATAAGGCATTGAAAACTTCACTGGTGTTACATATTAGAGAGCAACGATCGTGGAATAAATATGGGTGCAATTATATGTGTCGGTGGCGTTCTAGTATAAAAACATAATTGCGCCTGCACGTATCGGAACTTGATATACTTAGTTTGCAGTAGCCAGTATGTTACTGATAATTCACCTCATTCATAATATTTATGCGAGACCCAAATTTATGTGCTAATACATGACTATAAGTACAAATATATACACCGTGCTTTCCATATATGCCTCTTATCATGCAAAATTTTTTATTTGTTATTCTTTGTGTGTGTTAATGCTCGCATAGACAATAACACAAATAGATTAATTCAAAATAACTTCTATGCGTAGATAGATTAGTGTGTAGTCTGCTCAGGACATAATCACGAGCCGCAACTTCTAGGTGCTTGTATTATTAATACAATATATGGTTGCAAGGCTGAAAAAAGATATATTCTACGGAAATAAATTTTATGAATACAATAAATTCGAGCAGAATTCATAAATGAACCAAATTCTGGCTGCTTTTATAAAAAGTAAACTTCAAATTCTTTTATAAATAAATTTATTCGTCTCCCCTCGGGCAGTCGCAGTCATCACGTGTACAGTAGCGAGGGCTCCATGACACGAGGCTGGTCGTGTCTGTTCTACCTGCTGGTGTTCCTGACGGAGGTGTTGCTCTTCGGCGTGCTGATCCTGTCGCTGGTGTGGGTGTACCTCTTCAGGGACGGATTCGCATGGAACGAGGATGTCGCTAAACAATTCAACCTGCACCCTGTACTCATGATCACTGGCTTCATCTTCCTCATGGGAAATGGTGAGTGTGCCTCTAAATTTGTGGATAAAGTATTGATTAATAATTAAATTAATATGAAACATTTTGAATTCATTATGTCGCCTTCAGGGCATCATTTGTTAAGTAGGTCGGTCGGAGTTAAAAGTTGAATAACTTCAATTTGCAGCATAAACTATTGGTCATCGGCTACATCTTCTTGGTGTAAACAGTCTTGTGAGTTGCCATATCTTTTCGAGAGTATACGTACCGTGTGTTTTTCATCAGTTACCATATGGCCTTCGTTGCCTTTCAAGGTTTATTTAATTTGCATTGATATGATGTGGACTCAGGGAAATAATTTTTTTGTGAGTTCAATGGCCAGTACTTGAGTGTAGCTAGCCCCTCGAAACCCTGTCTGGTCCTAATTTTAATAGGATTGGCAGTTAATTAATTTTAATAGGATTACCATCAGCCGATTAGACGAAGAGATACATACACTAACTAGCTTCTGAATCACTCCGTGTTATGAACTCAATCTTACCATTTAATTTAAAAGATTTTTATTTGCAGGCATATTTTCTGTATTATAAGATTTAACTCTTGACCAATTAAATATACACATAGAATGAATTGAATCGCAATTTCAAAGTCCATTTCGGCTCAAAATATTTGCTCTGCGAAATAGGTCGTTTGCTTTGATTGTCTGAATGCATTCAGACAATCAAAGCAAAGGTAGTAGTTCGTCGTTCAGGAACTATAACGTGTCCAACCTGCAAGGCCTTCGTTGCCTTTCAAGGTTTATTTAATTTGCATTGATATAATATGGACTCAGGGAAATAATTTTTTTGTGAGTTCAATGGCCAGTACTTGACTTGAGCTGGACCCTCGAAATCCTGTCATCTCCTAATTTTAATAGGATTAGCAGTTAACAAGCTTTTGAATCACTCAGTGTTATGAACTCAATCTCACCATTTAATTTAAAAGATTTTCATTTGCAGACATAGTTTATGTATTATACGTTTTTAACTCTTGACCAATTAAATATACACATGGAATGAATTGAATTGCAATTTCAAAGTCCATTTCGGCTCAAAATATTTGCTCTGCGAAATGTGTCGTTTGCTTTGATTGTCTGAATGCATTCGTCGTTCAGGAACTATAACGTGTCCAACCTGCAACTGGTGATCGAGTTCCAACACGAGACAAGCTGTTGAACTTTACTTGCACCCACGCCGCTCGTTTGTCACCCATTGTTACCCTCACACAAATGCCATGAGGTCAGAGGTCACCGCTTCTTTGACTCGGCAGTGCGTTAGCTGCGCAGACCGTATACGTGAAACATTATCAACTTGCGTCGCGTTTATGCGATGGATAAGATACGTTCATTTTGTGAAACTAATATGCATTGAAATGCGTTACCTGTAAAAGTTTGTGAAACTGATACAACTCACAGGAATACGTGGTCAATGAAATATATTGAAACTGAAACACATGAGAATACATTATCAGTATAAATGGAGTTAAATAATATTGATTCCATTTATGTTGCATTACATGCACATCCTTTGGATTCATGTCGAATTTCAGGCAATGTTACATAGAGCAAGAAATTTTTGCACCGCTGCAATTAACAGGAAATTCTTTTCACCGCTGCAATTAACACGAAAATGGAACCTCTGCTACACACAGTAAATGTTTTACATGGCACCTTTTATGCGCAAAAATTCAATAATAAAGTTCGTAAGCGAAGGCCAAGTCACGAGATGAACACCGCCCTTGTCCTGAGGCGCACAAAATTTTCTGTGCGGTACGTTTACCTTATTAAGAATATAATTAAATTAAGACCTCAATTTCATGAGGTTAAGTTGAGGAGTTATCTTCAGCAAGTTATCATGTATGTACTTCGCCTAGGAATGATTGAATTGATGCTAGTAGCTGTTAGGTATGAGCGCCCTAGTACACAATGTATAGCCTTGTATAGCCGCTCGTATTGCGGGCTCCGCCCATGTCTGCATCCATGTGTGTTGCTTTGCTCTGTGTGCCCAGAGCGCCTGCTGTCTTGCTTCACTGTACCTTTGAAGCGAACGAGATGAATGTAATAATGCATGTAATAGTGCGATAAGCGAACTGATAATTTTTTATGGGGTAATAAAAATAAAGCAGAAACATTCAACGTGTAACAATGTTCTACAAAAGTAGTAACATTCTTAGTAAGTAATAGTGCGATAAGCAAATTGATAATTTTATGGGGTAATGATAAGATAGCAGAAACATTAAACGTGTAACAATTGTATACATGAGTAGTAACATTCTTAGTAAGTAATAGTGCGATAAGCGAATTGATAATTTTTATGGGGTAATGAAAAGATAGCAGAAACATTCAACGTGTAACAATGTTCTACAAAAGTAGTAACGTTCTTATAGTAAGGCATGTCACACTGACTGGCACAATTAATGAATATTTTTTGTGCATCGATTTTCAAGGAAGATAATGATTGAAACAGATAATTTATTCACTCTGATTTAACGTTTCAAGAGAATGAAGATACGATAAATATTTAATTTAAATTTAAATTAAATTTGTTTTAATGTTGAAAGAGATATAAAGATCAAGAAAGATAATCAATTTTCTTGGCTGACCTAAACGGAGATAAATAACTCATGTTGCATTGACTTGCGATCTTCCTTTTACATGTGCAGTTTGACCAATACATAAATTTGAAAGTAAATACTCCTCTTCTCATACTTCCGTGTTAACGAAACCTTCGAAAAACGCACAAAAAGTTGCGAATAGCATTATATTGCTTTCATCCTAACGTTGTGGTGGCTATAACGGCATCACACAGGTTCCGTGATCAGCCATAACAAAGGTAACATTAAAAGACTTTATTTCCCGAGAGTTACTTTGAGTTTCACATACTTAAGGAACGCAAAAAAGGCTTACTTTGGGTAGAATTTTGTAACAAGCAACGATCAATCTTCCCTTAACTAGAAATAAATATACGGTTCACAATACGCGCCGCTCTCAAGCCTACAGTATATACCATCTTATCCTCTCTTATCCACAGTCTCGTATCTCGATTCAAACACTCGCAAACTTTTCGACAGTTCTACTTCTCATTAATGATAGATTCACTATTAACATCTATTCATTAATAACCTTATAAATGGATAATAATGTAAATTTTAATCCATGACATCTAGAACGCATTTATTTACACGAATTTAATCATTTAAAGTGTGCAAGAGTTAGATGAAGGATCGCTAACATAGGTTTATATCGCATTTACTCCGCAAATTATTATCCCGAACGAACTAATTCGTTGACGTGAGGTATAATGTATTGTATTTATGACTCGCCCTCACTCATTACTGAAGTATAGGTGGTTATTTAGTGCAATGTCTTATTAATTTGGCTAATTGATTACCTGCGCCGGGGTGATTAGGGTAAATTTAGCACCTCTGTACGATGAACGTATGCCCAGTGGCCAGCAATGCGCACTGAATTAACTTGTATACTTAATTATTCAGGCTTAGATTTAGATTCAATTGGCCCGACATTGAGGTGGATTCCTCTCTTTAATATTCCATGTATTGCCTTAAATAAAAAATATATGTATATGTAATATAAAAGTGACACACTTTCTGCACGTAGCACTGAAACACATTTTCCTGGCCAAATTAGGTCAGGATCACGCAAGAAAGTGCACAAAATTGCAGCACCTTATGGAGCGAATTGCATGGGGTGCGATTGCATCAACGGATTCAACGCACATTTGAACATTTCCTTAATTGCCAGGGAATAATGGCATCAGAACTTGTTATCCGTTGTGACTTTAGTCCCTAATTATTGTGGTGATATTATATGGTTGACACGCCATATCAGCTTGAAGGTATATATTTGTTTGACGTTGAATTAAAGGAAGCATTGGAAAAGCGACGAATAAATCTTCGCAGGAACGTAGACTTAGGAGAATAAATGAGTAATATTGCCCAAATAGTGACTCACTTTCTGCAAATAGTACTGATATGCCCTTTGCCTGATTCAATTGAGTTAAGATAATCCACACAAGTGGTAAAAATTCCATCGCTATTCAGACAAATATTCACGCATATGTTTGCGTGTGGAGGAATGTTTTACGAACACTGGAGGAATGTAGGAGCTGTGGGATCAGGACAAGTAAAACAAAAACGAAAGTAGGACGTTCATGAAGTAAGATTTTCCAAAATAGTAAATTAGGACAAATAGGACGATCCCGCTGCTGATGTAGGAGTCTAGGAGTTAGGGGGAGCGGTAGAGGGGGAGGCTAGAACATCCTAAGTTAATTGCACACGTAGGTTGCCAGTCAAGGCAAACAGGTGTGTGGTGTGTGGTGTGTGTGGTGTGTGAATCGCTGAAATTGTGACGTGTGTGAGACGCGTGTGTCGTCTGTACCGTGTAGTGCGTGTGGGTTTCGTGGCGTGCGTATCGTTCGTGGCGTGCGTATCGTTCGTGGCGTGCGTATCGTTCGTGGCGTGCGTATCGTTCGTGGCGTGCGTATACCTCGTTGACGCTGGGGTAAAGTTGCAGTGCGACAACTATGTCACGCGCTGTACAGTTGCATGCACAGTGGTCAAGTCTCAGCGAGGGCGCTGCGTACTGTACACTTACAATGTACAGTTCAAAGGCCCCATTTACGGCATTAACCCCAATTATTTGCACGAGACGTCCAAGTGTAAGTTCGAGTATCTGTATTTAATGAAGTTATGCGTGAGAAGACCTTCAACATAATTATTATCTTATAACGCTAGTAAGAATTTCATATCCAGTTATTTCGTCTGTCTATTCCTTTGATGAATGGGTTTGAAGTGGTTCACGTGTCGGTTTCCTGTATGAGAACCTCACTGCAAGCGAACGTGGTGGTGAAAGTAGCCTGTGTTCTACTGCAAGACTTGAGCAAGTCTCACCAGCGCGCTGCTCGTATCGCTAGATGCAGACGGCTGTTAATCTAGTTAATCACCAGCTATGGGTGAGCCAATTGTTGTACTCGTAGCTTCACGAG